CCCCAAAACCCCAAAACCCCATCTTTCTCAATTGATTGACTTATTGATTGAATTAAATTACAAAAAATCAATCAATACTGATATTGTCTTAATAAAAAATATATTTACCATATCACAATCATTTATCTTCCTAATTAAAATTGCTTTCCCTTTTAGCATATTTTAGATCTTTGGAAATGGGCTTAAATTTGAAAAATAGCGTTGTTATATTACAAATGATTCCCAATAATCCAACTATAGATGTGTAAATTAAGTAACTTTCCCTTCCCTCAACATTTCCCTCGATAATGTTAAATATTAAACCACCTAAAGCTGTACCAAGGTTAGATACAGCATAGGATTAGGAATTATTACTGAATTCAAACCCAAGTATTTCAATAGATAATGTATTACTTGAACTATCTTATAAACCCCAAGCAAATGTTACGACATAAGTAAACCATGAAAATTAATAGTTTATTAGATACACTGCCATAAGAATACTTTGAATTAAAACAAAGAAAATATTTAACATTGCAGTCTTTTTATTCCCATATTTATCTATCATAATGCCTGTAGATATACTTCCCACAATCTCGCCTGCTCCAAATGATACCATTGTAAGCATTGCCTAGGAAAATTTATACTAGTCATCTCCAATAGATTATGTATCAATTACTATCATCACAAGTATTCCAGTATAAACAGCAGAACTAGTTCCTATCCATAATAAGAATGGTATCAAAGTCCTCATTTTCTTAGACTTTATGAGGATAAATATCTCGCATAACTCTTATCTCAATGTTATTGGATTTTTTCTTAGTTTTTATGTTTAAAAAATGTCTGAACTATTATCGAGATTTTAACCTTTAGGTAAATCATCATCATTTTCATTAAAATTATGTATTGATTATAAATCATCGTTTGTTTCTAGGTTTTTAAGATTATCACTACTTAATGACTATAATACTTTAATGTCTTCAATCTCATTATCTGCTACTAAATGTCTCTCTTAAGGAATGGGTTTAACTAAAGTAGCAAAGATTAGTACTGAAAAGAGAGCAATAGCCGCCATTATTAAAAGAAATGAAGATTATTTGAAATGCATCGAAACGAATGCTGCAATCAAACTGCCAAGTACCATTGATATCATATATATACCCCAAAAAAAACTAGCAAAAAAACCTTTAGTTTCCTCTGAAGCACATTCTGAAACATATTTACTACCAGCTACCCATTTAAGGCCAAGAAGAAAACCTTGAATTGCCTGAATTAATATTTATGTCGTGTATATAAAACCATCACTTATGAAAAAGCTATCATCATTATGTTTAATTTCAGAGGAATATGCTGGTGGAAGAATTGCCAGTATCCATAGGGCATCGGCAGTAGCCGAAATTGATAGACTAATTTTCGAACCCAGTTTATCCAAAATATATGAAGCAGCTAAGCATCCTATACCATAGGAGAAGTAATCCAAAGAATAGCAAAAAAAGCCAAATTATTCAAGATTGTTCTTAGCCATAATTTATGTGTATACATTCTGTGAGGGATTTAATGCTATGAAAAGAATCAAGAATCCAACTGAGCAGTAAGCTGCTTTTCCCAAATTAGCGTAATGATTTTTCTAGTGTTAGAGATTGAGCTTCATAACTAAGAATTGTTATCTTTAAAATTATTTAAATTTTCTCTTTATTAATTCAATATAAAAATCTTATAAATGGAGATAGGGGGTTTTGGGGTTTTGGGGTTTTGGGG